GGATTTATTTATCTTCTATAATTGAAACTTTGCTGCTTTGAGCGGAGGCCACAGCCAGCCAGGGCAGGCGGGAAGCTTAGCTTCCTCTATCGCCGGGCAACCAAGCCTCCTGCTTGCTCCAGCTCCGTGGCTGCCATCTTGGTTGGGTTAATTTGCGTATAGTCGCTCTGATTGGCTGGTGGGTGTGGCTTGGGGTGTTGCAGAGGTGTGGTCAATTTGCATGTTTCTCTTTTATTAGATTAGATCTTATCAGAATTTAATACGTTTATTATATATAATTGAGATCAAAGTTTAAAGCTACCTTACAAACAACAGCACACACACTCACAGCTAATTCCCCCAAATAAATTGTTATTTGTTGGCATTTGAAGATCTTAGTAACATGATCTTAAGTAAAAATTTACATCTAACCTTTTTCAGAGCTTAAAAGGTGACTATAGTCAGGCTAAATCTAATATAAAAAGGCAAATACTTTCTAATGTCAAAACAAGACTAAGCCAGTTTTTAGTTCTTTCACTTTGAAAGTTCAAGGATATTTTGAAGCTATCTGCCATCAATTATCTCAAATCAAATAGGAGCAATTAGCTCATAATCAATTACAATAGTTCAAGCTAAGAAAGAAACAAGGATGTTTTATCTGGCCAAGGAGAGACACTAGGAAGCTATCTAGTAGACATTAGGTTATATCTACTTCTACCACTGCTGAGACCATATGGAGATAGGCCCCCCTTCCCCGACACACACTTTAAGCACCAAGGCTATCCAGTGATCTGAAGATTTTGGGGGTGAAGTGGTGGGGGGAGAGAGAAGAGAAGTAAAAAGAAGAGAAAGGAATGGGAGATATGTTGTGTAACCTTAGGGCAAGTTAAAAAACATCTGAGTATCAGTTTCCTTGAGAATTATGGTGATTTATACTGTATAATCATACAAATATATCATACACATTACTGGTATTTTTCACTGTTATTTTACTAATAAGCATTAGTAAGAGGGCTAAATGTTATCATTGGAACATAAAAGTGAATTGGTTTGATGTCAAATAACTCAGTTACCAGAAAAATACTTGAGTATACATGTTAAAAGATGCCATTTCAAAAACTAGCAGAGAAAATGAATTAGCCAGCAAATGGCATTTAAAAAATTGCTAACCACTTAGAAAAACACTTGAATCCCTAATTCCATAACTAACACCAGAAAGATTGAAGTTTTAATGGTCAAAATTTAAAAGTACCGCCCTAGCCGGCTTGGCTCAGTGGATAGAGCATCAGCCTGTGGACTGAAGGGTCCCAGGTTTGATTCCGGACAAGGGCACATGCCTGGGTTGCGGGCTCGATCAATGATTCTCTCTCATCATTGATGTTTCTATCTCTCTCTCCTTCTCCCTTCCTCTCCGAAATCAATAAAGAAATATATTTAAAAATAAATAAATAAATAAATAAGTAAGTAAGTAAGTAAGTACCAGAAAACAACAGCTATTTTTAAAAAAATCTTGGAATAAGGTCTTTCAAAAGCTGAAGGATATCAGAACAATGTTGGACAATTAAAAACACATTGCTTCTAGATAAGCCTTAAGATTATAAAATAAAACTGGAAAAATGATCCACAACCTATTTATTGGGGATAACCTACTTTATCCTCCTATATAATAAAAGCCCAATATGCAAAATGTCTGGTTGTCTGTTCAACCAATCAAAGCGTAATATGCTAATGATATGCTAAGGCCGCTCAACTGCTCGCTATTATGTGCACTGACCACCAGGGGGCAAACGCTCTGACCCGTAGGTTAGCTTGCTGCTGGGGTCCTGATCGGAAGAACTGAGCAAGATGGGACGGACATGCCCTGGAGCCCTCCCACGGTCCCTCCCCAGCTGGCCAACCTCCCAGATCCCTCCCCAGGGGCATCTCTCCCCAGCCCTGATTGTGCACCAGGCCTCTAGTACATAGATACTAATAGAAAAAAAAAAAGAGCAAAAAACATAAATAGGCAGATTAAGATAGACAAAGACAAATATTTTAAAACAAGTTCAATTTCATGAATAACTTAAAAAGCAAAATGAAGTAAGTCAGTAGTATTAACTTCAATGTTGGCGAGGACACGGAGAAACACAAATACTTCTGCTATTGGTGAGCAATTTAGCAGTATCAATTATACTTGAGAATGTTCTTGCTCTATGATATACATTACACTCAAGATTATTCTACAGCAAAACTACCTAAGTTGCATGCACAAGAATTGTTTTTGAAGCCAAAAGATTGGAAACCACTTATATGTCCATAAATAAGGACGGTTAATTATGGTATAGTATACAGCCATCAAAAAGAGTTAGGTTTCTGCCCTGACCAGTACTGCTTAATGGTTAGAATGCAGGCTCACAGACCAAAGGTTCTCAATTCAATTACCAATAAAGGGAACGAACCTAGGTTGTAGGTTCGATCCTGACCCCAGTCAGGGTCGCGTGTTGGAGGCAACCAGTCGATGTCTCTCTCTCACATCGATGTTTCTATCTCATCCTCCCTTCCACTCTCTCTGAAAAACCAATGAAAAAAATATCCTCAGGTGAGGATAAAAAATAAAAAAAAAGAGGTAGGTTTCTATACACTTACACAGAGATCTGTCCCAAGATACATCACACCAGAAAAGAATATTCTATGCTGTATCCCCAGTACCAAGAAACATGTCTGGCCTACAATAAGTACTTAACACATCTTTTGAATGAGTAATTCAATAAATGGGATAAATCATTCTGAAAACTATGTATCAAATTTAACAGTTATCTAAAGGGGATATGTTTATGGGGGTTCCCATATCGTTTTATATTTGCTTTGATATTTAAAAATAACTTATTACATTACCAGAGTATTTTTGTCCCTAAATAGTAACCAAAAATCCTAAAGAAAATTTATCTTCATCTAACAAAAGGCTAAAAGTTACCTAAAACCATAATTAATGAGTGGCATATCCAGGTCTCCAGCCCAAGTCTAAATTCAGCCCCCCCCCCCCCCCAATCACTAATGTCTACCCAGAAAATAACTTTCCAGTAATCATATCTTATAGCTACACACTTGGGTCAGTGACACAAAATATTTGCTGACCTTTATCCTAAGAAGTTATTTTGCATCATCCTAAGCTAAATATGGAATGCTCAAAAGATCAACTGCACATTACAATACCGAAAAATAACTGAAGCCCAAAATAACTTAGATAAAAGAATGGATTCTGCTAATCAGAAGAAATCTAAGATAATAAACATGAAACATCCATTTATTAGAGCACAAATCTTAGAGGCTATCTTCTACTTCTCAGTATTAATTTGAGTTCAAGGACAACAATAAAGGAAACTCACTCACTGTACCTCTTCTAAGAGAAAAAGTATTTCATGAAAAGTTAAACCCTTAAGTTATCTCCTAAAATTAGGATATAATTAAATGGCTCGCTTAATTTTTATGTATGTAGCGAGGGCCATAGTTGTCATTTTTACCACTTCACACCTAGAAAGGGTCATTTAAGCCAGTGTTTCCCAAATCTTTTTTTCCATTATTGCCCCTCTAAGAAACCTTATAAGACATTTTCTTGACACCATGATGAAATCTTAATATCAGATATCCTGTATTATCTATTTACATATGCTATGTATATCTGTGCTTTATACATTCAAAGAATAAGGTTGTTTTCAAACATATCTTTCCCCAAAAAACAATTTTCATCCTGCTAGGGGCAGCATGTCCCACATTGAGAATGTGTGCATGAATATCAATAAAATATGGTGGATTTTTGCTTCTTTCAATTCTAGAAATACCCCCAGCACCAAATTTAGTAGAGGAAGGTTTATATAGAAAAGGCACAGAACCAACTTTGTGTTAGGTATGTATTCTGACAGCTAATATTTCTACTGCAAACTCAGGCTTTCCGAAGCTTAACATCATTTCTATCTTGTGGCTTCTTTATCATATTGAACATTCTTTTTATGACAATTCAAAGATATGAAAAATATATCTCACAGACTCCTTCTTTCACTTTTAAGATTCCTACCTCCTTTCTCACTGTCGTAGTGTGAAGCATCAAACTGAGCATCATCATTAGGGAGTTGCACACTGGCTATCACAAGGTGGTTTTGTTCATCCGATGTGTGTGTCCCCAGGACAAGTCGATGAATGCTGAAATCTTTCCCTTCTGGTCTGTAATAGCAATATATGGTCACCATTAAAATTAGTAACAAATACATCTATGCAAGAGCACTATTACAACAAGGTCTTGGGAAGAGAAAATCATTTTCTACTTTAAAAGATTGTTTTTATTGATTTTAGAGAGAGAGAAAGGGAGGAGAAAAACATTGATTGCCTGTCTCCTGCATGCCTCCTACTGGGAATCGAACACGCAACCCAGGCATGTGTATGGGATGATGCTCAACCTGGCTGATCTACACCAGCCAGGGTCATTTTCTACTTTTAATGTAACTTCCACAGAGCCACGTATAAGAAAGACTACATAGCACTTAATTTTTAAGTATAATAAATCCTCAGTTAACATGGATAGGTTCTGTGACTTTAAGCAAAATTACATACAATGAAGCCAATTTTACCACATGCTAAAGGATATAAACAAAAGTTAAGTTCCTATGGTATCTCAACTTTAGAATGAACAAAACGTTATTCAAGGACCAGCTGTATTTAACTTGATCAAAAATTTACAATTGCTTTGGGGGAAAAGTCTAACAAAATAAAATGGGAATTAATTACTCATCCATTACAACTGGTTGGATATAAAGAAAAATTTGTTGGGTACACTAACATTTTAGGTTACTTCTTTAAGTTAACTTCATCAAAAAGGAAAGGAAATAACATTAGTAAATTAATTGCTCAAATATTTCCTAACTGCTTGGACACACTGCTCCAAAAACTATGGACGCATAATGATTAAGACATGATTCTTGTCCTCAAAAAAACCAGGGACAATTAGGCAGTCATGTACACAAATGATTAAAACACAAGTCAATATACACCACATGAAAGGTACAAAGGAATACAGCTGGAAGATAAGCAGGTAGTCAAAAAAAAAAAAGAGGAGCTAAGCAAAGGGGAAGGTCTACCAAGTGCCAGACACCATGTTAGGCATTGGATATACCTTTTATCATTGAAATACCATAATACTACAAGATTAAACAGCTTGCCTTAGATCACACAACTACTAAGTAACAGAACTAGGAAAAGTCCAAATCTGACTCTAGGTATGGGAAAGTACAATGGGAGAGAAGGCTAAGAAACAGATTAAATTTAGACTCTAAGCAGCTGAAAATTTCAAGAAGAGCCCAGAAGTTAGGTCTAAGATAACCAATATGAATTCCTTTGCAAAGAGGTGATGGACATCTATAAATTAAACAGAAAAAGTATAGGAAAGAAAAGAGAACTGTCAATAGAAAATTGGAAATGCCTGTGGTTAGAAAGTTAAACAAAGAATCAGAGGAAGTGAGGGAAGAATTTTATAGAGCTACAATTATTTTTTTAAAGGATGTGAATAAACATCAAAATCAAAACATATACACAAAAAACCCAAGCACTTGGCATTAGATGCTTGCTTATAAGTAATCCTCATCATTACAAAAACAACAGAACATTGTTATATGAGTAGAATACAAAAAAGGGAAGGAAAAGGGTAGGGTATTTGGATCAATATCAAATATTACAGAAAGGTTTATCTGCTGGAGTAGAAAACAACTAAGATGACAGCACAAATTTTAGCCTTGAAGAATTTATTCTAATTCATTGCTTTGCAAACCTAGCTAATCACTACACTGTATGGGAGGCTTTGGGATTCCAGAATGATTTAGTAGGTATGGGGTGACCAATATTTGGGACCCACTGGTTCGCTATAATTTGGCACGTGACTGGTAAATCTGGAATCACCAACCATTTCTCATCAAGTATTCTGCAACAAGTTCCTAAATGCTTTGAACTACCATTGAGAATACCTGACAGAATTCCACTTCTGCTGAACTCAATTTTTTTTAACATTTGAATAATTTTTTATTTTTCAACTAGAGGCCCGGTGCATGAAATTTAGGGGGGGAGAGAGGGGGTCCCCTCAGCCTGGCCTGCGCCCTCTCCCAGTCCCGGAGCCCTCAGGGAATGGACATCCTCAGCGCTGCCACAGAGGCGGGAAAGGCTCCCACCACCACTGCTGTGCTCGCCAGCTACAAGCCCAGCTTCTGGCTGAGTGGGACTCCCCCTGTGGGAGTGCACTGACGCTCCTGAATTGAGTGTCTGCCCCCTAGTGGTCAGTGCAAGTCATAGCAACCAGTAGTTCCCCCTTCAGTCGATTTACATATTAGCCTTTTATTATATAGGATTTTGTATTTATCATTGTTAGTTTCAGATGCACAACACAGTGATCAGACATTATATAACATGTAGTGATCACCCTGATTAAGTCTAATACCCTGACACCATAGTTACTACAGTATTACTATATTTCCTGTACTGTACTTTATATCCACTTGTCTATTCTGTAACTACCAATTTGTACTTCTTAATCCCTAAACCTTTTTCACCCAGCTTTCCAAACACCCTCCCATCTGGCAACTGTCAAAATGTTCTCTGTATCTGAGTCTGTTTCTTTTCTACTTGTTTTGATTCCACATAAGTGAAGTCATATGGTACTTGTTTTTCTCTAATTATTTCACTCAGCACAATACCCTCTAAGTCCCTCCATATTGTTGCAGATGGTGAGATTTCATTCTTTTTTTATGGCTGATTCTGATGATCAGTTGAATATGGGAACTCCTGGTAATGATAAAGCTCCCAACTCTAAATTTCTAGGTATTTATTATGGTTTTGTTTAACCACCTTAGCACAGAATTCCCCATTTTTAAAATGCTATTGCAAAGGTAACAGCCTCGTTCTTAACTTATTAATAAAATCTGTATCAACTTTTTAAGAGCTATATCAATTTTCTAATTACTTGTTGAGTGAAACATAGACTTATAAAGACCTAAGATAGGAGGAATTTATTTTTTAGTATACATAAAATATAATTTTTAAATGTTGTTCCAAAACTAAAAGTTTTATAATAGAAAACCCTTTAGTCCAACTGGCACACTGGTTTTGCTAAAACTCGAGCCTTTCCCTCATACCACCCCATTGAGGTCATTCTTCCTTCCCCTCATCATTTTATCTTGGCCACTCTCATGATAATTTTTTTAATGTTATAGGTTATACATACGAAGTCAAGGCAGGGAAGGATCTTATTTAAATCTGTATGCCTTGATAAGTGGCACCTAGACCCTCAATAAACGTAAGCCAAATTAAATATTTTATCTCTTCTATTAGAGGTACACGAGTAAGAAATATATGCGATTCATCTCTCACCATAATTCCTCATATGCAAAACATCCCACCTTCAGGTGTTCGCTCTAAGCATCCTAAGTATCTTTCTAAAAAGTGCTCTGAGAACACACAACTACAACTACTAGTTACACCAGCTCCTTCAACTAGACTGTGCTCCTTGCAGGCAGCTACCACGTTGTATTCACCTTTGTATTAACCAGCTACAACCAAAGACTGTGAGATTAAAAAACTGGACACATCGTAACACTTCTTGAAAGCTGACAAGTCATATGGTTATTCAACCCAGTATCAGAAAAAGAACAGCATGTTTTCTCTTATCAGGGAAAATAAAGTAATTTGACATTTTGCCCACTTTTTGGTCTAGAAAAAGATGTCACCAAGAGGTTTTGATCATATGCTCTGTAAAGGGTGAGTGGAGAAAAAAAGAAAAAAAAACTGGGGAAATCAATGTGCCAAATCTACACTGAGGACACACCAAAGCAACGTTCAAGAGATTCGTATCACCTGGTTACATCGGGAAGCCACTGTGCAGTTAAGCTGGGCCACTCCAGAGCATGGGTCATCACCAAATCGTAAAGAAAAGGGGTGTTCTTTTTCCATATTTTGTACTCTTCGTTGATCACGCGTTCTTCTACTGCGTCATCAAAGGCTGCTAAAAAATGAAAAATAAATTTAAATTAGCGAACACAACAGAAACCGCGTAAACACTTCCAAAGCTACCGGTATGGCTCCCAGTCCTGATACAGAGCGGGTTTGTCCAAATTTCCCCCATGCAGAGGCACCAGCACCCCCGCCACCTCCGCGGGTTGGAACTCCTCTCGCGTCACCCGGCCAGATACTCCGTTAGCCGTGCGGGTAACGGCGCGGCCGCGCCAGCACGCTCCCCTACGCCCGAGCCTACGGGACCTGCGAGGAGGCCCGAGTCCCGACCCCTGGGTGTAGGGAGCGGTGCAGGGCAGACCCGGAGAGAGGCGTGTAGACCGACAGGAAGCGCAAGGAGGGACCAAACACCCGCCAGGGCCCCACCGCCAGCTGCGCGCCGTTAGCCCGCCTCGCGGGGCTAGTTCGCCTCACGCCTGCGATGGTGTGGACCGCACTCAGCAGAGTCGGGCCTGCTCTCACTGTTAGGCCGAGTAAAGGCCGCAACGCAAGTCCGGCACCCCTCCGCCTCCTAGGGTGACTCCGGCACCCTCACCTTCCTTGTCGGCCATGGCGTGCAGGAAAGCCAGGGGGATCCCGAGGTCTACCGTTTTGCGGGAGGGGCGGGGAAGCTACGGAACGCTCGCTCTCCGCGCGCGGCCTCTATTGTTTCCTGCTGTCCCTGCGTGAGGGCTGCTTCGCGGACCTTCGCGCCAACACCGACCAATCGGAGCGCACCGAGCAGCCAGGTGGGCGGGCAATCGCGCTCGCAGCCTATCCAGACGCGCGGAGT